AGCTATAGTAGCCCTATAATATGTCAATAGTAATACTATGTATCTAGATCTTTGTAGTATTCATATATTATTTTAAATAGTATAACTATAGTATAATATATATAGTGTTTCATTGTTGTTTTTTAAACACACTATAGACCACTCCTAGTAATATCATGATATTGTCATAGTGAATGCATATTATTACTATAGTGTTTGTAAAAGTACTACTATAGGTTTTTTTTTGGTGTTTCCGTATTAAGACTATATTATTTTAAATAGTACTAACCATAGTATAATATATATAGTGTTTCTGTAGTTGTTTTTTAAACACACTATAGACCACTCCTAGTAATATCATGATATTGTCATAGTGAATGCATATTATTACTATAGTGTTTGTAAAAGTACTACTATAGGTTTTTTTTTGGTGTTTCCGTATTAAGACTATATTATTTTAAATAGTACTACCATAGTATAATATATAGTGTTTCTGTAGTTGTTTTTTGAACACACTATAGAACACTCCTATAGTAATAGTATGATATTGTCATAATGAATGCATATTATTACTATAGTGTTTGTAAAAGCATTACACTCCTAGAATTAATGTGTCATTTTTTAAATATCAAATTAATTGATAGTTCAGGCATTTATCAAACCTGGCCACTCTGGGCTTCCTGGCAGCTGTCAATCAAAGTCCAGTGGCTCCGCCCCAAAGTGTAAGAAACATATATTGATTGGGTCATTGACCCAAATCTGACTCCATAATAAGCTTAATATGTTGTTATTTATGTAATTAATTAATTCTAGGATGAATTACGGTCGCCACTCTGGCAAAGACAGATTGAGAAACACGTGAGCTGGACTCTATCAACATAAGGGAAATTCACTTGCACTGACAGCTAATAGCATAGCCTACATGAGTAGCCTCAATGCCATGGTTAGTTTCCCCCGTTGCCACATTCAGTCCCCACCTCAAAAGGCCTGCCTTCCTTTTATGTATGTCGCTATAATATTATTATCATGCTCTTGGATTACTTCTAAAACCATGAATGGAAAAAAGTTAATATTTCTTACCTGTGCGCTGGTGCCAGCCATGGAGCCAGCAGGTGGCCCTGACGCCATCGCAAAAGCAAAGCCAATACTATGCTGCGTTAACGGAGCTACGTGGAAGTGGGGAAGGACAACGCTTAATTGCCGATACGTAATTTCACATTCTAGCACAGTTTATTACTCTTATACCGCGATTGTTGCCAACTACGATGCTCAACAGCTCGCTTAACGGAACTTTGACGCTGGTATCAGTTTTGTTTACCACCAATTACGGGAGAATTGTGTATAGAAAGTGTTGAGCTATATTTCTCGCACTACCTAACATCCATGAAGGCAACAAGACAGAGTGAGGGCTGTCACTCAGGATGCCAAACTACCCCTTGGTAAGCCAAGCAACATCTGGGCCAAAAGTTTGAAAGCGAAAAAAAAAGATCTGAAAGTGAAAAACGATCTGAAGGCGAAAAAAAAAGTGAAACCTGAAAAAAAAGATTTGAAACTGAAACAATTATTGTTTTGAATCTGAAAACGTAAAATCTGAATATGTATAAAAGTTAAATAAGAAAATAAATATTTCATTCCAAAAAATTGCTGAACTGAATCAAAAATAATATTCAACCTGAAAGATTATTTCAAATACTTATTTTTAGTTTGAATACATCATTGTATTTTTCAAAGTTCAGGATAAAAACTTGAACTTTCAAATAAATTGTATTTTTTTGAATGATCAAAACTTATGACCCTTATAGCTCCATAAAAGGCTCCCTGTATTCTGGAGAGTGGCCACCAGAGGAAGATATGTTCAAACTAAATGTGGTCTATCTAATTGTACAATATTAGAAATAATCCTGATAGTATCCTGATACCAATATGTGTCATATTTGAAAGGAAAATAAACATTTATATTGTAAAACTTTAAAGCATTCAAGAAGTTTGTGGCTGAGATGTTTTACAACTTTTTAGCCAAATAACCGGAAAGGAAAACATCTCATAGCTCATGGCTTTAGTGAGCCTGATAGCCTCAAAGCAACACTGATACAATCAAATGACTGTAGCCTACATTATGTTTGACTTCATCACGTCAAGTAAGTAATAAAAACAAAAGTAAGAATAAAAACACTATAATAACTAAACATAATAATACTTACACTAATTTAAAATATTAATGACCTGGAAAGATCATTTGTTTTAATGTTTACAACACCATCACACCTTGTGTTTCATTATGTGTTATCATCATCATCTCAATCAAACTGGCCTAAAACTCACCTGTAGGGTATTTCATGTTTTCCTCCCTTTTGCATGTAAATGAATGCAGGGCGCGTGCGGCCTTGCATGTAACTTGTTGTAGGTCTGGCTGAGTGGAGCACCAGAACCTGAGAGGTGGAGCCATGAGCACACTCTTAAAGCCGGAGCTGGTTCCTCTCCTCACTGCCAAGCTGACGCGAGGAGCAGCTCTCAGAGAAGGCATCCACAGCGCCGGGGTCGCGGTTTTTTGTCAAAGATTTGCTCTAGGAAAGAAACCTATTCTGGCCAGAAGTACTGCGTAAAACGCGCACAGGACGCACCGACGGGCACAGAAGTGGCTGCCTGTACTTGATTTTCTTTTTTTCGCTTGAGCTGAGAATAACAGCGTGGATCTCTTCACTAGGCATTGCAGAGGGAGTATGACAGCGGGCTCGGGCCTCTGAAGGAGACATCGCTGAAGTTTCGCTCGGTGTCTGTTAAGGTGACCACAGTCAGATTATGCAGCATCCATTGGACATAGGGCTGCATTACTATCCCCTGGAAGGCCACCCTGACCACAGAACTCATCGCTACAGGAGTTTCATGATAGAGGAGATCCTGACTGAACATCCAGCGCACAAAGCGTCGGCTCCGGCCGGGGAGCTGCTTAAATTCGGGGTACAGGCTCTGCTCTCCGCCCGACCTTTCCACAACCAACTAGGTAAGAGAGGTGCTGTGAAGAGAGAAATGCAAGACATCTGAGATAATTAAAGAATGTATTTTTATTACTCATATCATAAAATCATGATACATTTTTTATAATTATTTTTAATTGCATACAATACAGCGAAGCGTATTTGGATTTTTGACGCAATTAAAGGGGATATCTTTTAACTTTCGTTACACGCAGGATTATTTTTAAGAATCGACTTTGAACTAATAATTTGCAACAATCCAGAAAATGTTTCAGTTAAAGGAAACTGCACATGTAGAGTAGATGAAAAATCACCTTGCATTTGTTTTCAGAACAATAACGAAGTCGCAGTATATCTATCTATATATATATATATATGTGTGTGTGTGTGTGTGTGTGTGTGTGTGTATATATATTGCTACTGTTATGAATGATGATTTAATTCAATTTGAAAATGAAGTTAAACAGACCACAAAGGGCTTTATTCAGTTATTATTATATTGTTATTTTGTTGATATTTATAAATCCTCAAACAAAGCTCCGACATAATGCTTATATTCATCAGAAATGCGTGTGTGTCGCTCATTCAGTGCTGAAGGCCGACCAGAGCCTCCTGAAGTTTCCCCTGTCCCCGCTGTCCTGCCCGCTCGGCTCCCCGCTGCTGTCGGCGGTCTCGGGCCTGCAGCTCGGCTCCGGGTCTCACCACCTGCCGCTGGACCTGCACCTCCGCGGGAAGCTGGAGCACGGAGCCGACGGAGGCAGCAAGAGCAAGAAGGGCCGCCGCAGCCGCACCGTGTTCACCGAGCTGCAGCTCATGGGCCTGGAGAAACGCTTCGAGAAGCAGAAGTATCTGTCCACGCCTGATCGGTGGGTCTGCAGTGTATGACTTTATCAATACAGTGGAACATCTAGAACATTTTACATGGGGGTGTACAAATGTGGCAAGTGTATTGGCAGGGTGGCATGTGAGGGCTGACGGTACGTGGAACTTTAAATATATATTTATATAATAGCTACTATAACTATGTATTGTTATATAATGCCAACACAAGTTTTATAAGTGCACAAAAGGAATAAGGCCAGTGTTCACAATAAACGGTGCAGCTCTTAAACAGTAGGCTAATAGCAAAACTCAAATATAAAATATAATATTTGCCTCCAATAGTGGAGTATAAAACAACTGACAATACTCAAGTTAAGTATATAAGAGGCTACCATACAATTAGGGTATATTTAAGTGAAAGTAATTTAAGTCCACAAATGACATCACCATCTGTTTAAGAGAGCTTAAGGCGACCTGTTCAGCAAAACATTCCACAATATATTTTTCAATACTGAAATCAGCTAGATTGTGGTAATGGCATACAAGGAAAATAAAAACATACCATGTGGTCCAGCTGGAGTTTCTTCTGCCTGCCTGTCCCTCTTTCTGAGTCTGACACTTCTTTATTCCTCACATTCATTTTTAAATTTGTCCTCTTCTTCTTCACTTATGTCTTCATTTCCTCCTGACTTTCTCCTGCTCTTGCCTCCTTATATCTAAACTCTCTTTTCCTTTTCAATGTTTCCCGCTCTTTAACTCCTGATCAGTTCCCAGTTAATTTTAATTGTTGTACTTGTATTTACTATTTTTACTGTATAGGATTTCACCTGGTTTCATTTGTGCAGCCTCTTTGTTGTGATGTGTGAGTAACCTGCGTGGATTTTAAAGTGCTGCTTAGCTGACGTTATAGTGATCCGCAGCGCTCTCACGGGTAGTGGTGTGACGTAGGCCTACTGCCACAAAGACCGCCCGTCTGTTAAACGTTGTGGGTTCAAACATGCAAGTTTTAATATTTTGTTCAAACATTTCTTGTTTTTATTTAAATCAAAACTAATCAAAGGGAGACTACGGGGAAACTGAATGACCTTTAGCCCGGCTGTGCGACGCTGCTTGTTGCGGGGACGTATATTTGAGGGGCCTAACATTACATTACCTCAATTGATTGCTTGTTTCAATGTTTTTAGTAGCTGGTGGCAGTTTGTTTAAACTAGTACAGTTTTTAGACCACAAAAGTAAGGGGGGGAACTTTTGTGTTCCTGTAGGTCCGCCCCTGATACAATATAACATTATACAATACTGCTTGCCACATTGGTGTTTCAAAGTCTTCTTAGCATTTCTAGAAATACAATTATATGGTGTTGGACTCTAAAGCACATAAAGTGGCCTTAAATACCTCTTCCGATCATTTTTTCAAAAGAGATAAAGTGTTGAACTGAATTGTGAATTGTTCATTTAATAATGTCTTTGTTCCTCACAGAATAGATCTGGCAGAGTCTTTGGGCCTCAGTCAGCTACAAGTGAAAACATGGTACCAGAACAGGAGGATGAAATGGAAAAAAATTGTGAGTTATTCTTTCTTTATTATGGTATTGATGATGATGATGATGGTGATGATGATGATGATGATGAAATAATAGTGGTAACTCAGTGAGTAAAGACCCATGTGAAGCAATAGCCCACTATTTTAGGAGGTTATATGAAATGCGTATGTCTTAAAATGCAGTAGGCCTGGTGTCTGAAACTGAATGGGTTGTGTGTTGAAGTTGAGTGAACAGAGTGTTTCGCCTGTTTAACCCACAGGTTTTGCAGGGCGGAGGTCTGGAGTCGCCCACTAAACCCAAAGGGCGTCCAAAAAAGAACTCCATCCCCAGCAGCGAGCAGCTCTCTGAGCAGGAGCGCTGTGGGGCCCCGGGGGGCTCAGAGGACCCTCAGGAGGAATGACTCTCAGAGTGGGACGCTCTTTAGGATGGACACACTCAGATCCTGCGTGGAGAAGACGCACTCTGTGGGGCTGGAGCAGGGCGATGTGCCGCGGGCCCTGCAGGGGCCTTGTCCCCTCGGGCCTAGGCCCACCATGGGGACCCTCATGGTGAACTGCTGCTGCTGATGAGGGAGCGCAAAGCTTTGCAGTAGGTCTCCTCTTTACATTCTGAAGATCACTCGCACTCCTCTGTTTGCATTTCCTTTGTGTAACTATGCTATGTTTAATTATGAAATACATTCTGACTGATATGTGCTCTGTTTATAATAAAGGACTAAGGCTCATAAAAAGCTTTGAATGCAGAGCGTACAGTACAAGTGCATTTGATGATGATGATGATGATACAGGCTCATCAGTTATGTCATATGGTGTAAGTAATGTTTCAATAAACATTCCAAATAAATGAGAAGTATATGTGGATCATGGGTTGATGGCTTTAGGGGATAAACAAATAAAAAATAAATAATATACTCGATTGTTGCTACTGTTAATCGTGTTGTCTGAGTAAAGCTGTGCAACCAGTTCCCCTGCATTATTTTAACATCATTTTTATTTCCTGCTGCAACATTAGACTGAAGCAGCAGCTGCGCTTTAACTTGCCGTTTTCTCTAATCCCAATATTCCTTGGATTTTCATTTATAATCAGTGTTAGTGCTGTGTTTGCGCTTCAGACATTTATTTTATGTCGCTGTGTGTATAGCCTTCTCTCAAAGCACTGCTGTGATTTGTAGGCTACTGAGTGCAGACTTTCAACATTACCTTGAGCTCGAGGACGGGGAAGAGGAGACATGAGGAGGCTCACACTTATGATTGTGGATCAATGCGTTGCTTTTTCATTTCTTCTCTTGTTTAGAACCGATCAGATCAAATAGAACGGACTAAACTGTGCCTTCTGAACACTAATTCTAAAAGTACGAGGCAGGGAGGGGGCGCGCGCCCTGCGTGACACGGTCCGCTTCACACAAGGGGAATAAAATAATATAATCCAATGCAAAATAAAATAAGATCAATGAATTTAAGATACGATCAAATAAAATAAAACATTCGATTATATAATAAGGTACAAATGACAAAAATAAATGACTGCCCCAATTTAGATAAATGAGATATTCCTTGTATTGGTCGCGCGATGGGGACACGTGCAGCGTGATGGACAGCACAACAACCGGAGGGAGCGGAGCTATAAGCAGATACAGTTAAAATAAGTTACAGTTATAATTATAAGCAGTTACAGTTATAAGCAGTTACAGTTATAATCAGTTACAGTTATAAGCAGTTACAGTTATTATAATTTAGGCTACAGTTAAAAGCAGATACACTCATATAAGCAGTTACAGATAAGCAGTTACAGTTGTAAGCAGTTATTATCAGTTAAATTATGATATCGCTCATGGAGAGCGCTGAGGATGATCAAAGCATTATCTATAGCCTACTCGATTGTTATAATATTGTTATAATATAATTAGTTATGATTTAATCATCGATTTTTACAGCGAAAGTGCGTCTTTTGATTTTAAAATGACATGTAATGCTGAATTGTGTGTTTACATGTCTTGAAAAAAATAGGGTTATGGCTTTTGATACAAATATTTGTCACCCCTCCTGTCGTGTTGGTTTCTCCCTTGCTTTGGTGTTCCCGGTCAAATTTGACCGGTCTGTTTTAGCTGCCCCAACATTAACATAAATAACATGAATTATCACCAAATTCTATTTAAAACTCTTTAAAGCTGAAAATGTACTCTAAAATGAACATGGATGTCGATCTTTGTGTGTTCTCTGATGGAAGAACATAATTTCCTATTAACTGTCCTTTTTGACTGACACTAGGTGCTACAAAGTTCTAAACCTAAGCATTCAATGAAAATGGTGATCCACATTTATTTTATATTAATTTATTTGCCAGCTCATTTATTTTATATTCATTTATTTCACTGCACATTTATTTTATATTCATTTATTTCACTGCTCATTTATTTTATATTCATTTATTTGCCTGCTCATTTATTTTATATTCATTTATTTCACTGCACATTTATTTTATATTCATTTATTTCACTACA